TTTTAATGTAATTTCTAAATAAAAATCGATCGAAATTCCATTGTAATAGAGAAAATTGAATAAACTTTTAACGGAGACGATGGTTTTTTAAAAATGAGGAGATGCAACTAAAAAATATGAAAGTTGTGCAAGTGAAATTAATTTTTAATGTAATTTCTAAATAAAAATCGATCGAAATTCCATTGTAATAGAGAAAATTGAATAAACTTTTAACGGGGACGATGGTTTTTTAAAAATGAGGAAATGCAACTAAAAAATATGAAAGTTGTGCAAGTGAAATTAATTTTTAATGTAATTTCTAAATAAAAATCGATCGAAATTCCATTGTAATAGAGAAAATTGAATAAACTTTTAACTAGGACGATGATTTTTTAAAAATGAGGAAATGCAACTACGATTTAATTGAACTTGAACGAAAAATATGAAAGTTGTACAAGTGAAATTTTTGTTCGACGCAATTGCTAAATAAAAATCGATCGAAATTCCATTGTAATTGAGAAGATTAAATGAACGTTCGATAGAGACGACGATTTTTGAATAATTAAATAGATCGAGTACTATTTCGTTGTTTTCTTAGGGTTCAACATTCGTACGGTTGAAACCGAAGAAATTGGCCTTCCCGGTAATTGACGTATGCAGAATTTATCACTAAAACATGCACTTCCTTGGAGCCCATGATCAATAATCGTCGTCGTTCATGTTTCGAAGACTCTCCTCCCAAGGTTTGCTTCTCGTTACAGAAACCACTCTTCCCACAGTACAGAGAAACGTAATTCTTTACCTTAGGCAAACGGAATTAAAACGATGCTCGTACATGGATTATCCCCGTTAGGAAGTCTGATTTTACGTAAATGAAATTTCGCTGGGGCAATCACCGTGGCTGGCCTCCCGTTACGCTTACACAATTTCGGTTTGTTCTTTAACGAAGATAACGGAATGTGGTTAAGCTTAAATATTCGCAATACGAATTTTATTACACTGTGTGTATTAGTGATGTAAGAATTTCTTTGGTCTGGCCACGGAAACGTTGAATTTGCAGGGTGAAAGTAAAGGCTATGTAAGGCATATGTGTTCCATCATTCATTCGCATAATCGCCAAAGAGCCTCCGTTCTAAGTGGTAGGCAGGTACTAGCATTATCTGTCTTGCTTGATGTATCGCGTAAAGAGAAATTGATGACTTCGCTGAAAGACACTTTCCTTTGATTAGAGAAACATATTTTTTTTTACGTAAGGTGAGAGATAAAGGATTTCGTTCGATATCGAAACCAGGTTATCGGTGACTGATCTCGATAAGAAGCACGCTATTTCAGCTATGTGACTAGCTAAAAATCGAAATAGCACAATCGACGTCTCTGGAGGGTGGAAATAGGTGACACTTTTGCATCGTGATCCATCAGAGTCGAGAGATCATCGGCAGGTGTCTTCGAGCTCTTCTAACGTCAAATTAGAAGTAAATTATCAATGGGGGGAAAAAAAGAGAATCGAGTAAATCGAAGTAAAGACTCAACTTTTCAATTGCCCCCGGGCAACTAATTTGCCTTCAGGTAGCGATCCTTTCGATTTTTCTATGAGACAGGCAATTCTCGAATGGCCCGAGGCTAGACAGCAAAGAAACGGTCGAGTGTGCTGTACGGAAAAAAATTTGCGCTGAATCGCAATGATCGCCAAAGGGGGAATTGCTTGGAGCAGTTTCACGGTGGACTAGAATTCCCTGCAACACATATTTCCACTCCTCTCGATTTCATACATCGGATCGAACGGCACCTGACACACCCGTTAAGCGCAATTAACATTTCAACGGGAGTGATAGGTAGTAAAAAAGAATGGCGCTTTGCTGTAGGGTGTAGGATTTTTTTCGAATACAGGTCGAGGAGAACGACTCTTATGAATCGTAATATTCCCTCATTTTTCATCTGCTGTGTCAACGGTGTGAACGACAGGTAGATAAAATCAAGTAGAAAGTGTAATGCTCTTTTTTCAAAATTTTACCTAGGGAGAATCTCAGAATAAAGGGTAAAGAATGAAGAATAAAATTTCAGAAATTGAAGAATTCTCAGTTTTAACCTCTCGGAGAGTTGTTACCGTAGAAAACGTAATATTCAAAGTGCCCCCGTGAAGAAAATTTCCGAATAAAAAATAACATTTCAGAAATTAAGGATTGCCCCGTTTTTGACAGAAGAAGACAGAAGACGGAATATTAAAAGTTTTACCGAAGAGAATCTAAGAATAAAGAATAAAATTTGAAAAATTAAAGAATGCCCAATTATTATTACTATTATTGAAGTTTACAGGTGTAAGCCTTAAATCTTTAAAGAATGCTCAGTTTTTCATCCCTCGGAAAACTACCGTAGAAAACACAATATTAAAAAACAGTTTCACCGGGAAGAATCTAAGAATAAAGAATAAACTCTCGGAAATTAAAGAATACCCGGTTTTTGATCTCTCGGAAAGTTACCGTAACTCGTGTAATTTCACGAAAAGAAAGTGTACGCGTGCAAAATCGAACAGCAGTTTTATTCGGCAGTTCTGCGTAGCAGATTGCACAAGAATAGTTAAAATTCGCGCGTAACGCAATTAGACGCGCGGCGATGCCCTTCCGTAATATTCGACGCGCTTTGTCCAGAGCTCTCTCCCGCGTGGAAAATATCGCCAAGAAATTCAAGAATAATTTATTACACTAGATTACGAGTGTCAAGCGTATTACGCAACCCGGTGAAATGCAGGATAGAACAAGAGACGATCGATCGGAACGTTTTTGATCGACGTACACGGAAGAACAGTTGTATCGCGTCTGATCACCACGCGATTCAACCATTTTCCGGTCGGTTTGCGTAGAAACGACGCAGTGTAGAGTATTTGTATGAAAAAGTTGGCCAAAATTATTTTGCTAGTTTGAGCGGAGCCAAGTGCACTTAGAAATGGTGAAACGTTGCATGAAAACTCACGGAAGAATGAAAAATTCAGAAATAAGCCGATTCATACGCATGATTTATGTATTTCAATTTGAAACTCTCAATTTAAGAGTTACACACTGTAAGTAAGAAAAGCAAGAATTTTTATCACCAATTTTTAAATAAATTTTGCATAGTATTATAGGAACGTTACGTTGCAGACAGATTTTTCTCACAGAAAATTGAAAATGACAACGATTATATTTGAATAATAACAGAAAAAAATGAGAAATAAGCAAAAATCCTTTTTATACGGCTTTCTTCTCCTGCCTAAATTCTGATGTCACGGAAATAACCGTTGTGATACTTCATTTTGCATTAAATTTGAAAATTTGAATTTTCGTCAGCTTTTTAAATAAAACATACCATAGTAATTCTACAATTTGGCAACGCGTGTAGGAAAAAAATTAATTCTCCACGCATTTCTCATGAAATCCATAAAACCTTCAGTGACAAACGTGGTGAATCGATTATAAATGATTCGATGATAAATGAAAGGAAGTTGAGATTTATTTCGTGTCCCCCGACGGAGAACCCCGCGAAATCCTTGTTAAGAATTATATCGAGCCCCGAAATGAGTCATGTCACGTTCTTACAATCGTGTTCCTTACTCTTTCCTTTTCTTTCTTTATTGCTGCATCGAATTAGAAGGATTTACGTTCGTGGCGCTTTCTCATTGCGCAATTTTCACGGCGTGGCCTCTTGGAAACTTTTTTTTCTCTTTCGTTAGACAGTAATGTGTAACAATGGTTGCAGAGTGGAAAAATAGTCGATGCCATAATAGCGGTTATTTCGAGAGAATTCGTACAGGTATAAACTTTCTAATAAATGCCGATATCCGATAGAATTTAATACTGTAATTACTGGAATTTCATTTTTTTCTTTTCTCTGTTATAAAATCTAGACCACGGTATAGTGACAAAGTTCTGCACGGTGGAAATAAAAAGCTGGTTCGTTCGATATTTCAAAATTCGATAGAATCGATCGACTTCGCCGCAAACCAAACAGTTCCCTCCTGCGCGACACACTGCGAAAGCAATGGTAGCGAGTTGAACGTTTTTGTTTGGACGAATCGTTACCCTGGCGACATTAAATTGATTGGTATCATACTACTTCCGTGTTGCATACGCGCCCGAGTATTAAGAACAAGTGTCACTGTGCATAGATAACGCCGATAAATTAAACCGAGAGAAAAAGGAGAAGATAAAAAAAAGCGCATAATTTTTAATAATTAACAGAAATAAAAGTAACGGGTGAAGGTGAAAGGAGAGGGACAGAGAGAAAATCGCAGTGTTTATCACAAGACATAAAAATTAACTTTTATTAGAAAATAAATAAAAGTGTTTGTTGCAGAAGTAATGGTACGAGGGTAGAGGGTGGGGGTAACAGGGGGAAAGAAGAGAAGAGAATATACAATGAAGTGTCCGATGTCGTGATGTCTTCTTCAATATCACATGCCGCACGAGAATTTCGAAATGGTGTTCAAAGATACAAAGTAGAATTAAACAAAAAATAGTACTTAGAGAGGGCAGGGTGGGGAAAGATGGTGAATTATTGTACGCTGCGCTCGTGTGAACGTGTGTTATGTATATCGGTGTATCTGTGTGTAGCTGCTCTATATGAAAAAGAGAGAGAAAGAGAAAGAACAATATAGATAAACGTCTTCTTTTTTTTTCCGTTTTTTTGTTGTTTTTTTTCTTTAAAGATTGGCTGCCTGGTCTGAGGTCTTCGGGTGGTCCAAAGGCACTCGCCGTTCCTGAGGGACGTCGATAATAACCTTGCATGCTCGATATCCTTCGTCCGTCCGCGACTGGTTCACATTCAATTATTCATTAATAATACTGTTTGAACATATTTGACTCCCCCCGTTCCGAACGAATTCAATTCAATTCCATCGATCCATGGAGAGCTTGTTTGGTTTCCCTCATTAAGACGAAGAAGAAAAGTCGAGCGTTGCCCCCTGATCCTAACGTCGACGTGGACGAGCTTCAACTTTGTATATAGTCCCGAGCTTCTTTCCCACCGCAAGGAGAATTTCGATATTGGCCGTGGTTATCGTTGTTCGTAATCGCTACTCCGGATGCACCTCAGGACGACTCGTCCAGGATGGATCACCCTGGACCAGCGGGTTCATTGGGTGCCATGCGGAACCTTAATCCCAGGGATGATGAGAGACAGGGGCGGCCTTGACGATCTTCACGGGCTCCACGTACTGTTCGACACCGATAAGGTGGGGATGGACGATCTTGGGCACCGCGTATGGGATTCTGGAGGAGGAGATGTGGGGGATCTTAATGTTCAACGGCTGGGGATGTGGGGGTGGGATCGATTGCTGCTGCGGGATCTGGAGTACTTGGTGTACTTCCGGAGCATGTACCTGTGGAAATTTGAAGAATTTCTTAATTTTCAATTTCACAGAATTTTTCATGTGTCGGAATAGTGTGGGGTATATATGTTTTATATTGTGCGAAATAAAATCTGTTTAATTATTTTCCTCGTAATGTACGTATTACTATTACCTCTTTTTATATGACTGGTAAATAAAGAACTGGTTCTAAATGAATTGCGAATAAATTATAGAAATCCGAGAAATACAGTCCAGAATTGTTACGAAAGCAAGAACAGTTTATTATTTTATACTTATTTTTTATACATGATAGGTTATTATTACTTCCTTTTTTTTTTTTTTTGTATGACTTCTTAAGACGTAAATAAAGAACTGGTTCTAAATGAATTATGGATAAATTATAGAAGTCCAAGGAATACAGTCCAGGATTACTATGAAAGCAAGAACATTGTGCGAGATATGTATAATGTTTTATATTGTACGAAATAAAATCTGTTTAATTATTCTTCAGGTAAACTAAATGTTATTATTTTCTTTGTGATTTTTTTTTCAGAGGTAAACAATGAACTAGTTTTGAATGAATTATGAATAAATTATGGAAATCCGGGACACAAATAAAATCTGTTGAATTATTTTTACTTTTCTTTAAATGACTTTTTCAGAGGTGAATAAGGAACTGATTTGAAATGAATTATGAATAAGTTATGGAAGTCCGAGGAGTATATTTCAAGATTATTACGAAAGCAAGAGTTGAAGTGGCTAGAAGATCATTAATGATCGGAGAACTAGAGCGACTCGTTGCACAAGTACTTTAAGTATCGCCTGCAAACGATCCAACGATGATTTCGACAGAAAGATTCGTGGGGTCGGATGGTTAACGAACAATTCAATTAGACGACGATTCTGATTATTCTCATGATCGACTGGAAAGTTACGTTACGTGACTGTTAACCGGCGCTCCGCATTAGACGAGCCATTGAACGTGGAAAATGAGAAGTTATCGATGATACCAATCAGTTGAGCGAGCCAGAAATTACGGTGATGAAAGAAAGTAGTCTACAAAGAGACTTGATTTTCAGAGCGAACTTTCAGCAATTCTGATCCAGCTGAAATCTTCATCGACGAAGAATAGTATATTCGTGAATATGAATCGGAATACAACCGTCACATGCTTTGTAAATGATTTCTTAAAAATGTTAGAAGTTCTGTCCAACAGAACTAACCGACTGGTTCATTTTTGTAATTCGTGTTACCTAACAGAATGATCTTTTTCGTTACCTGAGGCACCTGTACCTTGACTAATGGTGTTGAAATGACCTTATAATACGAAGCTGGTGCAGAAATCTTAACGAGGGAAGGCTGAGGTACCTTAACGTACGAATGTTCTGGTACGTACGCAGGTGCCGGTGCTGGCCAAGGTTCAACCTAAGTGTTTCAAAAATCACGATATTTTTTTTGGTCAAGCCTCCATACGGAAACTGGGTTACGTTTGGTTACTTTCCACCGAGTCTGTCCACTCACTCGGTTTGCTGAGGAACGATGTCGTAGAACGCATCGACAAAGTGTCCAGAAGATTAGATTACAAGAAGACTCGATAATCCAGACGATTATCTTATCCGGAAGATTAGGCGAACGAGAAGAAAGAGATGTGAAAGTAGATGCTGAGGAGAATAGAAAGATCTCTCTCCTCGAGACGAGTCCTTCAGTGGTGTCCAAGTTTGGGTTCGGTAACACTTGGACGTCAGAGAGTTAAGAGAAAATGTTAACATTTTAGAAACTTTGGTTACTTATAAGACCGTCTTCACAGTAAATGTTCGAAGACAGTATCGAGATAGAAGTTACTCTTGTTACTTTACCTAACGAGATGTTACGAATTTTCATTCCACTAAGAAATTATTAGAAGATTATCAGATTACGTGCAACAGTAAGAAACTCTGCGTAGGATTGAATTTTTTTAGAATCTTGCGAATTCACTTACCGGTGCAGAGTACGGTATGATTCCAGGGTAGGCGTTAGCAGCAGCCATGACGGCGAACAGAACAATCTGTGGATTAAAAAATAATCAACTCTAATCTTTTCTCTCTCGATCGATATTCCCAACGAT